TGGTTTGCCTACATTATTGGCCTATTACTACCTATGTTAAGGTCTTAGGTCTACATTATTATCTACAGTTGCCTCAATCCTAATATTAGTGTACTAACAGTATAAACTACCTACTTCTTCCCTGAAGGGTAAATCTATAAATTAAGTAGTGCCTCCCATCCACCTCCGCCAACCCGGGTGAGTGTGTTTGTTTTTGGGTGGGTATAAGGGGCCTCTAACTTTTTTTTTTTTTTTTTTTTTTTTTTCCCCCGTTGGGACTTCTCGGACCGAACAAGTTCCAACAGCTTCAGTTTTAATTTAAAGTTACGTAAATGTATGACCATCTATTGACTAAGGTTTGACTGCCCATATATGGTCCACCTTAAGTTATACTTGTAATAAATTTGACGCTATGACTACACAGTTTAATGGTAGGTAGTTTTTCATAGTTAAATCTGCATATTGCTGTTTTGTTAAATTTATGGAAGTGCTAAACAAATTTATGGAAGTGCTAAACTAGTAGGGATCATAGTGCATGGGGATGGGGGGGGCTCCAAATCTTTTTATAAAAAGAATTTCGCCCTCTGGGCCCATTTTGATGGACGTTTGGGTTTACGTTTAGCCTCGCGGCAAGTTCATTGATGCTGGTGAGGGGCTCTTTCTCTAAGGAATTAGTCCATTATGCACTGGGCTGGAGTTTTTCTCCATTGGGTTTAAACCCCACCCTTTCCATGGTTTCAATACTCCAATTTCTCGAAAAAAGCCTGAATGCCTTGCATTCCCCCCATGGCGATGTATGATCGCTACAGGTTTCGTGCTCCCATGGATACGTCACTGCAGAAATCTTTAACAAATCTTTTGAACATGTAAAGGTCAATTAGCAAGTCTGATTAACAAACTACATGCACAACAAGCACTATCGTAGAGCTTAGAAGAAAGATCTCGCGGGTGTGGTAGGCATTGTGGAATCCCTTCTGGGTAAGGGGGTGGAATAATCTTTATTTCTAAAAGTGCATGGACAACGTGCTTGCGTGGAGGGTGAAAGCCCAGTTATTAATTTCTTCCAAGGTAGAACCTTATCAGTTATAGGACTTGCTCCTACGTGGTTTATAATGACTCCGACTGTTTGGGAGTCGGTATGTTTTTTCCATAAACTGGTTGAGTTTATTCAGTATTTTTTAATATCAATGTGTTAATGTATTTAGTTTTTGTGTACTGACATTGTCTGCCACGGTCTTTTGATCTGTTAATTGTCGGCTTGTGATTTTTCTTTTTATGTATTGTTTCTTTTAAATAAAATATAAAAAAAAATAGAACCTTATCAGTTTCAAATTAGTGTTTAATTTCACATTAAATACGCATTGTGCAGGACTTTGAGCGCTCAAATAGTTCTTGTTCGGAATAATTATTCGGAAATGGATAACAGCGGTATGCTGTTATCCTGTCATACTGGGTTCTGAATAATGCTTAGTAGAACTATTAGGGAGACTTCTTGATTCTCATTTGTCACATTTGTGCTGAAAATTTTTTAACCACTAAGTATTCACGTTAGCTAAAATACCTTTAGGTTATTTACTTAATATTGTCAGCCCTCATACCCTTGCCAAAAGTACCACCACGGGTATGGCAGTGTCAAGCAGATATAAACTGTGAACAAAAGTTCCTTGTGAATAAATGGTTTAAAAAAGATAGGTTGGTAAATAAGGCGTGCAACATTTGGTTCTTTCCTCTGGAAATATTTTACCATGCAGTGGCTTCGGTCCCATGCAGAGACAAGTGTAAGAAGAGTTTAAGGTACCTTACCTTTGAAAAGTTTAGGGTTTCACTACTCTGAACCCGGCCATGGGCCAGGTTCGTCTGGTGGTTGCCTGATCAATGAGGCTGTTGCTCCTGGAGGCCTGCTGTCCCACATATCCATCACAGCCTGGTTGATCTGGCACCTGGTGAAGATTAGTTTCTTCTTGATGGCTTCTACACTTGTTCCAGCCGTGTTTGATATCTTCGGGTAAGATGTTGAATAGTTTGGGACCCCGGATGTTGATTGTTCCCTTATTGTCCCCATCGCACCCCTGCTCCTCGCTGGGTTTATTTTACACATCTCTCATATCTCGCTCCAGTACTACGGAAAATTTTATAGGGGTGTTACCTGTATGTACCTCAACATTACATGCATAAGAGTAATCTCATTGGGAGACAACTACATTGTTTACCGTAGTCACCCCGTGTAGACATGCGAGAGAACTTGACCACCCCTGGTCACTGCAGGTGTCCCTTCGACACACTCAATCTTATCCATATCTATCAGAGACCAGTATAAATTGGATAGCACCCACAAGTACAGCGATACTAATTAATTGTGGACTGTATAGATTATATTAGTTTAACTGAATGAACGGGGGGGGGGTAGGTTACACATGGATATATCCATCAAGGAAAAACGCTTGTCCATAATCCCACCACTTACCAGATATTCTCTAGTGGTCATTTGATGTAGCTGGATCACCCATAACCTATCCAATTACAACATACCTAACTGGCCAGTATCAGTCTGCTATAACTAGAAGGGTTACTTAACTGTGGGTGATTGATGCTCCTTATTTCCTCCATTCACCATCTCATTTCGATGTCCTGCTACACCGACACTGTTTTTATTCCAGCAGGACGAGGTATTTGTTGGTTTGTCCCAGTTTAAAAGTCGTGACTGCATAAAAACTTCACTATCCTCGGGACAGGAACCAAGAGGCCTAAGGTGTTCACTTGGAGCAAGGCAACCTATTTCACTTCACGCATTCTCTTAACTTAGTGTTGTTATCACTGATTACATTACAATTCACAAGACGATTTAATGTCTCATAATTATTATACACAGAGGTCACTCCATTAAGATCTGAGACCGATGAGTGATGATTAAATCACTGGTATTTTCCCCTGGACACACTCCATGGCGGTGCACCAGTCACCGCCGGTGCCACCATTATTCACTAATTTTATCCCTTTATTGCGGTGGTCCCTTAAATCACGTTCCCTCGCTCTTCACCAGGAACAGTTACGACACTTCCTGTTATGAAGCGAGGCCTATATTAATGCCGTGAACACCCGTTTCCTGTTCCCATGCTTTCCCAGCTTCTTCACTCGATTCAAAACACGCCCGCTCCCTGATGCCCCGTCTCGACTTCTTCCCCCGCACATCCGTGTAGGCGCAGAGGGGACCCTGTTGGTTCTATTCAAAATACAGTTTAGAAAAGTAATGCATTAATAGAGTATATTTACATTATAAAAAAATGCAGTATAATTATGGGAATTTATTTTCCACAAGTACGTTATGACACTGCAGATTAGGGAGGTAATCAGTCTCTAAGCCTGGCATTGTGTTCAGCCCTTCAGTCTTGACAAAAGTATAGCATATGTAGAGATGGGGGGCTTATATACTGATGACAGACGAGATGGAGCAGTGGGAGGCAGTCGCTAGTGGAAGTAGGTCATGTCTATAGGTTAGGCAAGTTTTGAAGAAATCACTGCATCAAGATCACAAAAGGTTGCTGTCTAACTTATAGATACTACCTACTTACACTAGTGGTTTTGTCTACTGGTGACTCTGCCTATTATTGCACCATGTTGTCATCAGTATACAAGCCTCCCCATCTTGAATATGCTGAAGCTATAGTGTGGCAAAATGTTCCCAGAATGAAGATTGTGGAAAGTAATTTCCCAAAATTATGCTGTATACGTAAATATACCTGATTAATGCATTACTATTGCTCTAAAGTGTATTTTAAAGTAGAGACCCGACAGGGAAGATCTGTGCCTGCGCTGACGAGCATGGGGTAGAGGCCATTGTTTTGAATGTGGTAAAGACGCATTAGTGAAATGTGCATAAATTTCGTCGCTCTGGGAGTTAAATTGTGGTTGAAACTTCCCAAATAGGAGCCGAAATTGTTGGATTTGCAGTCCTGCATGACGTGAGCGTTAAGCAGATGATCAGGACAGCTTTGGAACCCCAGCTAAGTCGTCTATTTTGTTTAAATTCTGGCCAGTATTTTCTTCATAATTGAGGCAGGGGGGGGGGATTTTGAGTATGACACACCGTAATCTCCAGACTAATTGGAGAGTCTTATTATTATAAATTCTCCTTCAATGTTTGTATTCACATTTTAAATTTAATAGTCCACATTTTATATTAATGATATTTCTTTTGAAATTAATATAGGTCCAGAGTGACTTGAGATATAATTATCGTAGGTATCAAAGGAGGACATTTTTTGCGACCCAAGTGCCCTAAAATTCCTACTAGTCTCTGTAACCTTGATAAAGAATAATTATCTGTTACCATTTACTGGTATGTATCTTGAGTTACATCCAGGTAAATTTAATTTTCCACAGATACCCAAATGTTGATTCTCATTTTAGTTCACACGTTTGTACCTGTACTTTGGATTAAACCTTGCGACAGCCCTAAATACTTGTAGCACCTTTATTAATATTATGGTAACTTAAAATTTAACTAGAGGGACTAGTCAAATTTGGGTGCTACTTTCGCTTATCTTAAAGGGAAATGATATCTACACTTATATTGCGATCTACACCTTGTATTGCAATCAGCACGGTACCTAACCTAGGTTAGGTACAGTGTTGATTGCAATATAAGGTGTAGATATCATCCCAAAGTAGATTCATGACATGTAGATAAGCCAAAGTAGCACCCAAATTTGCAGCTATTTGCATAAAGCAGACACGTATGTTGCAATTTGCTGGAAGATGTAACCCCTCCCCCCGGGAGGAAGATGCGGTTTCTTAATTCTCTAATATTGTAATGGTTAACTTGGTATTTTATTAAGGCCTATTTTTCTTAATTTGAATAAATGCTTATTAAATTTTTAGTAAAGCAGATAAGATGCACAATAGGGTATCTGGTTGCTACAAAATACTCCAAAATTCATAATCTTAATTATTGCTTCAGTTCTATAATTTGATTCTGGCACATGCTGCTGAATGTTCATTTTTAATTTTTCCATCATATTCAGGTTGAGGCAAAGTACAGTGAAGAGCAGGCTGCAGAGTGCTTGGAGTGGATTGCCACTATTACTGAGCAAGAGTTTGACAAGTCAGGCGCTGCAGACAATTTCTATGAGATTCTCAAGGATGGGACACTGCTCTGCGAGTGAGTAATGCACAGTAAAGTTTTTTTGCACATTCATAAAGTAACAATCTACTAACCTTTATTGTTAAAGGTTGGTAATTACTATCCCTAAAGTGTAAGTAGTATTGAAATATGGATAATCATGCTTAAAATTTAAATATCGTATGCACTGACTTCCATTATCACTTGTAACTAAACGAGAAATGGGAAGATACTGCAGTTGAGGTATTTATACTCTTGTATATGGTTGTTTAAATAGCTATACTGTATACACTGCATGAATAAATGCCATAGATTGTACTGTCCATTATGTGCTAGTTTCCATACACAGTAGGGCTCTGTTTTACAGCGTTTTGCTTTACACCCGCTAATACGGACATTTTAAATTGACTCTATATCACTCCCCCCGTCTTTCTAATGGTCACCCTGCCCCACCCGGTTTGTATACATTCTCTGAGCACAACTCTTATGTTTAGGAACTTTCCAAAATTTCAAGTGGGTTAAGTTTTCATATAATATATATATGTATATACTCTGATAATTATAATTGTGTAACTACCTAAATAAACTTGCAGTGCTGCCATGTGGGTATACATAAACATCAGTCTTATTAGTCTTGAAGATGTCATGTTAATAATGTCACAAATAGTAATGTCACCATGGTTGTTTAATGTTTATGGATGGGGTTGTAAAAGAAGCAAATGCTAGGGTGTTAGGGAGAGGGGTTTGATTAAATTATGGTGAATCAAATACGAAATGGGAAGTTACTTTTTGCTGATACTGTGCTTGTGGGTGATTCTAAAGAAAAATTGCAGAGGTTAGTGGACAAATTTGGGAGTAAAGGTAGAAAGTTGAAAGTTAACATAGAAAAGAGTAAGGTGATGAGGGTATCGAATGATTTAGATAAAGAAAAATGGGATATCAAATAGGGGAGTAGTAGTATGGAAGGAAATGTTTTCAGATATTTGGGAGTTGATGTATCAGCGGATGGATTTATGAAGGATGAGGTCAATCGTAGAATTGATGAGGGGGGGAAGGTGTGGTGCATTGAGGTATGTGGAGACAAAGAATGTTATCTATGAAGGCAAAGAAGGAAATGAAAGTATAGTGGTACCAACAATCTTACATGGGTGTGAAGCTTGGGTTGTAAATGCTGCAGCAAGGAGGTGGTTGGAGGCAGTGATGTCCTGTCTAAGGGCAATTTGTGGTGTAAATATTGTGCAGAAAATTCGGAGTGGAAATTAGGAGGTGTGGAGTTAATAAAAGTATCAAGAGGGCTGAAGAGGGGTTGTTGAGGTGGTTTGGTCATTAGAGAGAATGGATCAAAGTAGAATGACATGGAGAGCATATAAATCTGTAGGGGAATGAAGGTGGGGTAGGGGTAGTCCTCAAAAGGGTTGGAGGGAGGGGGTCAAGCATGCGTGTTAGTGAACATAGACGAATGGTATTGGGGACCTGACAAGCTGTTGGAGTGTGAGCAGGGTAATATTTAGTGAAGGGATTCAGGAAACCGGTTATTTTATATAGCCGGACTTGAGTCCTGGAAATGGGAAGTACAATGCCTGCACTTTAAAGGAGGGGTTTGGTATATTGGCAGTTTGGAGGGATATGTTGTGTATTCTTTATGTATATACTTTTAAACTTTTGTATTCTGAGCACCTCTGCAAAAAGTGATTGTGTGAGTGAGGTGAAAGTGTTGAATGATGAAAGTATTTTCTTTTTGGGGATTTTTTCTTTTTGGGTCACCCTTCCTTGGTGGGGGACAGCAGACCACCTTCTGGGTTTATACATTTGTTACTTTTACTTTTCACAATGAGCTTTTATAAACTTTTTCATTGTCTGCACCACAAGCTAGTACCACCACTGCCACCCCAGGCAGTCTTCCTTAACACTTGTGCCAACTAGGCAAAAATTTGCTTGAAATACTGGATAACATTGAAAGTTAAATTTGTAATTTCAATGCATTCTTACACTATTGAGCTTAAAAATTTGGCTTCGTTTTATAGAAGTATGTTACACTGAATTTAGTAATTTTTTTTATTTGGAAAAAATGAATTTCCTCGCAAAGCTTGTCATGTGTGGTTTACATATTACAATATATTAATTACAAAGAAAGCCACTAGCATGCCTAGGCATTTTGGGCAGACTAATCCTAATTCTTACTGACTCAGATTATGGAGCAATACATTTCAATATTCCTCAGTGCATATAGATATGAAAGTTAGGTAATTAAAAAGATTATCATTAACAAAATTGACAAGTGAGGTATCTCAAAACACAACAGTATTACAATTAATAAAATTAGTAGTGGGAATGGTCTTACCTCGGCATGATACTACTTATATTGGCAAAAGTATTTCTGGCAAACTTTGGAACTAAAGATTAATTAAACCTTAACTGTTTTGGGAATTTTTAGTCATTTGGGATAAGTGTAAAAATGGAGAATTACAGATAGTGTATTTTGTTTTGGATGTTAACTTTTTAATTTTTTTGATGTTTGCTTATTTCTTTCAGAGTAATAAATGCCCTAAAGCCTGGCCAAATAAAGAAAATTCAAAGATCTACCATGGCATTTAAGTGCATGGAAAATATCAACCAGTTTGTGGATGGTGCAAAGGCATGTGGTGTCCCATCTCAGGAAACCTTCCAGACTGTTGACCTTTGGGAGCGCCAAAATCTTAATTCTGTAGTAATTTGCATCTTGTCACTCGGAAGGAAGGTAAGGAAGAGTGAAGTTTTAAAATGGTTAGGCACTTTAAAAGCAAAATTTTCCTTGTACCATTTTGAAACTTGGCCCCAGAAATTGGTGCATGAATGTTGTGTATGCCTGCGACCCTTTTGTTAAATAGTGTGCATTATTCTAGTAAAATAAATGAATAAATTGTCACATTTGAAGTAGACTGAAAATTCTAGCTAAAAAGTCAAAATTGACTGCTCACTGAAGTGAACCTACCTGTCAGTAATGTATTGTAACCCTTGTAATGGTGGAGGGTATGCATTAATAGTTCTTATAAAGGACATGTAACCTCTGGCTATAAGTCTGCATTGCTGTCACCTATGACTAACTTGGTTCAAACTTTAAGTGCTTCTGAGCTGGATGTGTGACAGCTCTGTATTTTCATTCCTTTACACGGTAAACTGTTGAACTGGAATCTTCTGTTCCTCTATCTTGTGAACCCATAAGATGCCCCAACCAGGGAATGACAATTTGATGGCTGTGGTGAGATAGAGCTAGAAAACTTGTGCCATGGTTAAGCTAGTTCAGATGTCAGCCAGCCAGTGTAGTTTACAAATCTGTTTATATTATGTTCTTTAAATCTATAATGAATGTTGTCTTAGATTCCACGCTGTTGTAGTTGAGCAGCAGGATGTGGTCTAATATATAGATTCTTTTAGATGTCCATTGGATATTGATTTTAGAATTGAGCTGAGCATTACTGTATTAATGCTGTGTCCAGGTTTGATGCCATCCTGACAGTTCAGGATATTTGGTTATGAATTTGTATATTGCATTAATTTTGATTTAGGTTAGTTTACTACTCTTGTAGATTGGTGCATGCCTTGCTGCTTGTAATAAATTAGGGAAAATGCTTTCTATTGAAAAATGCTGTGATATTTAACGTTTTTTGTATTAACATATCTGCTGTTTCCCAGAGTTAGGCTGACCCGAAAAGGAAGAAACTTTCTTTCACTCCATCAGTGTCTTGCCAGAGGTGTGCTTACACTGCAGTTAAAAACTGCAGCATATACCCACCCCTCCTTCAGAGTGCAGGCATTGTACTTCCCACCTCCAGGGCTTGGTTCCAGCTAACCAATTTCCCTGAATGCCTTCATTAATGTTACTTTGCTTACTCTCCAACAGCATGTAAAGTCATAAAATCGTTGCCTCCACACTCCTATCTAACACGCTTGCTGAAAATCAAAGCCCCCTTGCACAAAAAAAAAACCTTCACCCTCTCCCTACAATGTTTCTTAGGATGACCCCTGTTCCACCTTCCTTCCACTACAGATTTATATGCCTTCCAAGTCTATTGCATTCCATCCTTTCTAAATGTCCAGACCATCTCAACCCCTCCCTAGCCCTCTTGATAATACAATGGAACCTCAAAAATCGAACTGCTCCCAACTCGATGAATTATGTACGTGTGTTTTTTGCAAGTGCTTTTGTAAGTATTTTTGAGGGTCTGAAATGGACTAACCTAATTTACATTATTCCTGATGGGAATAAATTCGTTCGGTAGCAGCACTCTAACAGCCTTCTGGACCGAAGAAAGCTCGATACTTGAGGTTCCACTGTATTTCTAGAAACCCTGTACCTCCTAATTTCCAAACTACATATTTTCTGCATAATCATTCTGCACGTTGCCCTCAAAAATGACATCACTGCCTTCTGCTTGCTGCAGCATTTACCACCCATGCTTTATCCATGTAAGTGTTGGTACCACTATACTCTAATGAATTCCCATCTTTGCTTCCATGGATAACATTGTCTCCAGACTCCTCAGTGATCCACTTTTTTTTTTTTTTCTCTCTCCTCTCACTCCTCTTGTCAGTTCTGTGACTTGCCTGGTCTTTCATAGATCCATCTTCTGACAGGTCCACTCCCGAAAACGACCAACAACTCCCACTTTGTGTTCATCTCTCGATCCCACGTCTTGCCAACACTTGAGCATTCACTTCTCACAACCCACATCTATAAATCTGCTGAGCAACTATGATGACATCATGCATCCCTGTCTAAAGGCCTACTTTTACTAGGAAATAATTCTCTTCTACCCCTCTCTCCCTCCCCCCTTCCCCTCTCTACACACTTACCCAAGCCTTGCTATCCTCATAAAAATTAACTTTATTTTAGCATGACACGTGTTAAGAGTGTAACAATTTGGTGAATGTGCCAAAAGCCCCTTTATATGCCGAGTATTTTGGGCATACTAGAGACTAACTAAAGATTAAGGTAATAACTGCAGTAATTTTACAAATGGTCATTAGGCAAATTACAATGAATAAAAGAAAATTGAATATTCAACAGTTCATGCTATATGGCTTTTAGCAAGTTCAGTAGAATAATTAGTTTCAGCACCCTGCCACCTATTCCATAAATTTGCAGCATCTGCCATGTTGCTCCCCTAGCCACCATATCATACGCATTTTCCAAATCCCTAAATGCCTTTTTTTTTTTTTTTTTTTCCCTCCTAATTGAATAAGGCATAGCAGATGAAATGAAAATGGTAATGTGGATATTTGACTAGAAATCCTGGAATGTATTAGAATTCCAATCTATGAAACTGTTTTCACTACAAAATATTTAGTTTTAAGCTGTACTCCCCCAAAGAATAGATGGATAAAATATACGTATTTCCTGAGGGTTCAGAGAGGCTTTAAACAATAATGCAAAAGTTTTTCAAAGACTTGAAGCACTGGTAAACCTGTCCCTGTGGAGGTAGTAAAGTGTTTTCTGCAGGTATAATTTACATAGTTTAATTTACATTGTTGCTGTAACAGTTAAGTATAGTACTCATTAATTTTTAATCCTTAAATGTTTAAATGAGAAATGTGGATTTGCTGTATATCAAAATTATTAGTAAATGGTCGAAATGGAAATGTTTAATTAGAAACTAATACATCTTTATTTCTAAAAGTATATATAAAAGGTATACAGTCCTAGCTGACATCAGTGACATACTACTGTATAGAAAGGTGCTTGTTACGCAGACCATTTCAGACAAATTAGGTAAATTTTGTCCCAGGATGCAACCCCCACCAGTCGATTAACACCCAGGTACTCATTTTACTGATGGGTGAACAGGGCCAACAGGTAAAATGAAACTCCCAACATTTCCGCCTTTGCCGGGAATAGAACCACAGACCCTCAGTATGGACTGAGGGCTGTGCCTACCAGGCCACAGACTCCCCTTACATAGAAGCTGCATTGGATTGGTTTGCAGTAAATCTGATTTAATATTATTGCTTCAGAAAAATTTTAGCTTGGTAATGTAATTTCCAGCAACCATTAATGCTATATGTAGTGAATAGTATTGATGTTAATATTTGAAACCTGCATAATGGTTTTTTTAATGCTTGAAACTTTGATTTCAGGGAGCTCAGTTTGGGAAGCCTTCCATTGGCCCTAAGGAAGCAGAGAAAAATGTTCGGCAATTCAGCGAAGAGCAGCTTCGAGCCTCTGACACGGTGATCAGCCTCCAGTATGGTTCTAATAAGGGTGCAAACCAGACAGGAATGTCCTTTGGCAATACCCGCCATATGTAAATGGAGGTCACACATAACTGACCTACACCATTTAAAATTAGCTTTAGGTTTTCTTTTGGAATGCAAAATGTGTATACAGTGTATATATACATAAATTGTATACACAGCAATTTCCACTTGTTTGACATTCTTGTATTTTGGAGTACTTATTTTGTTTGAAAATTTTAACTAGGCATAAATTACTACTATAATTTTAATTTTCAGGTACAATATTTTGAATCTAGATATGCTCCAAAATAATGCATTTTAAGAATATTTAAATTTCTCTAGGCATAATTTTTTTTTTAACTAAAAGAATTTACTTTATTTTACTTCTCTGATATTTATCTCTGACCATGAATTCATGAGAAATTAATGTTGTATGAATGTACATATGTATATACATGCATGTACATGCACACAATAGAAATTACAAATGTACCCACATTGCATTAGCAATGTATTCATTGAAAAAAATTCAGCTGGTATAAAGGCTGTAGAGGCATTTTAGTGCATGATTATACAGCTTGTGTACTGGTGTGCCCCTAAAGCCTTGAGGGTTGCCATTTGGTCTTTAATAAGGCTTATTTCCAATGCTGATGTCTTGTCTTGAAGGTTTCTAATACTTAAATACAATAGTTATATTTTTACAGGTGCATCAAAGAGTACATAATGTAATCTGATAATTGGTAGCTGTAATTAGAACTAGGGTTCAAAGTTGCTTGCTCTTTTAGTTTTGCCAAAAAATCATAACCTAGCTGTGGCTAGGATAATCTTGAAGAGACAATAAAGTAAGTTAGTGGCAACTGGAGTTAGTATTTAGTTTTTTTTAATATGTACTTTCCAAGTGTTTTCATATTAAAAAATGTATTTAATAATTTATGATCTATCTTCACACTTCTCTGTTGACTCATAGTGATTATGGATAAAAAAAAGATTGAATCTCACTTTGTCAACTGGAAAAAAAAAAAAATCTAAATTTTTCCAGAGGTTATAAATTTTGTAAAATTAACTTTCTTTGTGCTGTCACATTCCAAGTTCATAAATTTTGTATGAAAATAAATTTTTCTTAATAAATTAGTTTTTCTTACATGTCGTATAATTACGGTAGTGTGTATACTATATAAATGGTCTCATTGAAACTTCTCGCTCTTCAAAATTTATTTAGTTCAAGAATATTGACTGTTACTGAATACTTATTTTTTTTTTTTTATCACACTGGCCGATTCCCACCAAGGCAGGGTGGCCCGAAAAAGAAACTTTCACCATCATTCACTCCATCACTGTCTTGCCAGAAGGGTGCTTTACACTACAGTTTTTAAACTGCAACATTAACACCCCTCCTTCAGAGTGCAGGCACTGTACTTCCCATCTCCAGGACTCAAGTCCGGCCTGCCAGTTTCCCTGAATCCCTTCATAAATGTTACTTTGCTCACACTCCAACAGCACGTAAAGTATTAAAAACCATTTGTCTCCATTCACTCCTATCAAACACTCTCACGCATGCCTGCTGGAAGTCCAAGCCTCTCGCACACAAAACCTCCTTTACCCCCTCCCTCCAACCTTTCCTAGGCCGACCCCTACCCAGCCTTCCTTCCACTACAGACTGATACACACTTGAAGTCATTCTGTTTCGCTCCATTCTCTCTACATGTCCGAACCACCTCAACAACCCTTCCTATACCTATACATATATTCTTTTGATGGGGGGGGGGGGGGATTACCTTCTTAGTGAAAGGCTCTTGATAAGACTTCAAAGGGGGGATCCTTGGCATGGTGAAGAGGCACTTGGTCTGAGCAATTATACCTTTGAGTCTCCTTCCTCAGACTGAACCTAATTACCCCCCAATCCCCCTTCCCTGTCTCATCCTTCCTATCCACCCCTCCTTTTCCCTTTCCTTCTTCCCCCCCCCCCCTCCCTTATTCCCTTCCTATTTTCAGTCTGGGATTCTTCCCACAGGCATTCTAGTTCCTAGGTAGAGGGAAGGGTAGCATGGTCCATGCCATTCCACTGAGGTCCATGGTGGTGGTAGTGTAGTTTGCTGTGGAATCTGGATTGCCTGGAGATGTCCCACTCCTTTTCTGGTCTCCTGGGGGGTGGCTTTGGGTATCTTTTGAGCGGCTGGTGTATATTTGGAAGCTGCCTTTTGGTTTCCAGTGGGTGGTGGCCAGAGAAGGTATGCTTTGTGGTGGGTATCCGGTCGCCCTCTCTTGTCCACAGAGGTGGCTCGGTAGACGAGGTTGCTATGCCAGATTACTGGTTTACTGGCATGAAGGGTAGGGTATGGCACGGCACAGGTTTAATGCTGCATCTGCACTGTTTGGGGTGCGGGGCCCTCTTGGGCTCGGAGGGGAATTTTCAGCCCTTTCATTCCTCCTAGAAGCTATCCTTCCAAGTTTCCCTTTATATTTCTAAATGAAAAAATGACATAACCATGGAGTCCCAAGTCTGTGAAACTGATCCCCCTGGGCCCCTTTCTGCTACCACACCTTATTCAGACTACCTTATTTCTCGTGCCCCTGTACCTCCTGCTGGAGCAGTTTTGTCACCCGCTCCAGGTACTGGGGTTCTGCCTGACCCCTGATACATCTGACTGCACTCTTGACCATGCTTCTGGCTTCTCCATCTACGGCTAGTTTAATATCTATGATGCACCCCATACCCATCCTGTGGGCGGTAGTCAAAAAGATTAGAGGTACATAATGGGTCCAGGGACTGGACTCCAAAGTTTTGATAGCTGAACAAATTACATTCTGGCAGTTTTCTTATCAGTGTTGAGGTTGGGAGACTCCTCTCTCCCGTCATGGCATCGGCCCACACACTTCTTACGGGTATCCTCTTCAAGGGGGGGCTCCTTGGCGTGGTGAAGAGGCTCTTGGTCTGAGGAATTAGGTCTGTCTCCTTCCTCAGACAACCTAATTACCTCCCTATCCCATCCTCCCCTTTTCCCTTTCCTCCTCCCCCACCCCTCCCTTTTGCCCTTCCTCTTTTTGGCCTTTGGGATTTTTCCCACAGGCGCACTAGTTCCTAGGTAAGGGAAAGGGTACCGGGGTCCATCCTATTCCGTTGAGGTTCTTGGCGGTGGCGTAGTTTGCCATGGAATCTGGATCACCTGGGGATGTCCCGATCCCTCTCCAGTATCCCAGAGAGTGGCTTTGGGTGTCTTTCGGGCGACGGGTGTATCTCTGGATGCCACCTTTCGGATTCCGGGGGTGGTGGCCGAAGGAGGTATGCTTTGTGGCGGATGTCCGGCCGCCCTCTTTTGTCCACCGAGGTAGCTCGGCAGATGTGAGGTTGCTATCCCGGATTGCTGGTTTACTGGCATGATGGGTAGGATATGGCACGGGTTCCAAGCTGCATCTATGCTACTTGCCGTGCTGAGGTCCTCTTGGGCACAGAGGGAGATTTCTGGCCCTTTCATTCCTCCTAGGAACTATCCCTCCCTGGTCCCCCCCCCCCTTTTTTTTTTTTTTTTTTTTTTTTTTTTTTTCCCTCCTTTGACAAGAAGAAAAGTAACCTAACCATGGAGAATCCAATCCATGAATCTGGTACCCCCGGGCCCCTTCTTGATACCGCACCCCGTTCTGACCCCGCCTCATCTTTGGACCACTCTTCGGACATTCCTCGTGCCTCTGTACCTCTTGCCGGTGCAGATTCCTCACCCGCTTCAGGTACTGAGGTCTCGACTGACTCCTTTGATTTATCTGACCTCTGCTCTCCTTTGACTATGCTTCCGGCCTCTCCCTCTACGGTGCGGCAATTTTCGAATCGCCGGCCCATTCCACATCGGACCAACTCTGGTCCCACGCCTAAACGCCAACGACAGTTACCTGCTGCTGATACTTCTCCACCTTCTCGTTCTTCTCAGAAAAGGTCGACACGTCCTGCACTCCCTTTCCACGCTCGGTTTCAGACTGCACAATGGACTAAATTCTTCACTTTACGACAGACTTCCTCTACCGCCTATCTTTCCGACCACAGTATTGGCAAGGCACTCCTACGCCATGTTGGTAAAGATATTTCTTTTCATGCTCTTAAGAGCGGTACGCGCATCACGGCACAGAGTGCTACCCAAGCTCATGATCTTTCTCTTCTTTCCCATATAGATACTGTTCCTGTCGCTATTGAAACGTCATTCCCTCAGTTCTTGTAGTGGTAGTCATTCTGCCCCCATACCATAGTTCAACAAAATTTCCAGATGTGGCACTGACATTCTTGAACAGCTGGAACTCCAAGATCTCCCAATCCTCAAGGTAGACACTTATGTTCTTCCTGCCCGTGGGCAGAGACTATACCCTAGCAATGTGGCTCTTTTAACTTTTGACAGCCGTGAACTCCCATCCTCAGTTTATGTAGCAGGACATCGGTTACAAGTTCGAAAGGTGATCCCTACACCGCAACAGTGTAGAAATTGCTGGCGATTTGGCCATCCAGTGAAATATTGCAGATCCATAGCCGAATGCCCAGTCTGTGGTGCCAATGACCATTCTAATACGTCTTGCAATCAACCTCCCTCTTGCCTTAATTGTCATGAGGCTCACCCTTCGTACTCTCGCCGTTGCCAAGTCTACTTAAATGAGCGGGAAATCCGTTACCTCAGAGGCAGAAGGTCTCCATTATGCCATGGCAGTTTCTCGTCTCCGCCTCCAAGGGAGACTACCTCGTGTTTCTTATTCCCGTGTTTGAAAATGTCCCCCCACTTCTAGGGTCCCATCTTCTGCAACCTCCTCTGTGGTTACCTCTCCCATAGTCACTCCTGTATCTAATTCTTATGCTGTCCTAGGCTCAGACGTCCCTACTTCAATGCTTCGGTCTGTTCTCACTTTTTCGTGTTCTCCCTCACAAACCTCGGTATCAATGAGACCTCGTACGACACCTCCCAATCGTAACTACTTCTCAGAAGTCAAAAAAAGGTCCTTTAACCCCTCCTTCCCTTCTTCCACCTCCTCATTTTACCTTCCCTGTCTCTGTACCGGGTTCTTCCCCTCTCACTGGCTCTGTTACAAGTGTAGAGGTTCACCCTCCTCCTTGTACTATACCTACCTCCCCTGTTCCCTCCCAAGTTTCTTCCTCTTCTGCCTCTTCTGTCCCCTTCCACGCTGCTTCTCCAGTTCGCTCCACCCTTTCGCTCCCCCCCCCCCCTACCTTGGTACAGTCCATTACAGTTACAATATTTACTCATCCTCCCCCTACCATCTCCAATATTGTCTCCCATACAACGTCTCTGAATTCCGAAACACTTGAAGCAATCTCTGAATATATTGCAGAGACCAAACCATCAATGGACACTGATCCACCCTCTGTTCCTTCTCTCTCTCTCCTCCATCTGCAACTCCTTTCTTCACAGCGCACCGTTCCTTCGCTGCTTGAACGTTTTCCGCTGCCTCCGCATGTGGACTTTTCTAACCCCTCTAGTCCGTAGGAACCCTTACCTGTGGATTTCAAGTATCTTTATCATTGCCAATCATGGCCTATTTACAGTGGAATATACACGGCCTCAGGGGTAATTGGGGTGAGCTTCAGATGTTACTCTCTCAGTTTTCCCCTGTTGGTGTTTGCTTACAGGAACCAAAATTTCACTCTGTTGTTCTCTCTCATCTCAGTCTATAATTTATTGTATTCTTCAGATCCTTTTCCTGATGGGACCTTAATGAAAGTGCCCTTCTATGCACTGATATTCCGTACCATCAGCTATTTGTTCGTACTTCGCTGCATTACACAGCAGCCCGTATCCACTTGCATAGGTGGTATACGCTCTGTTCTTTATATCTCTCTCCTTCTTGGGCATTATCTATTCCAGATATTGTCTTTCTTGTTTCGTCATTACCACCACCGATTCTGTTACTTGGTGATTTTAATGCCCATCATTTCCTCTGGGGGGGGGGGTTCTCACTGTGATTCCCGTGGCATTCAGCTAGAGGCTTTTCTTGCCCCCACCCCCTCCATGTTTTAAATACAGGTACTCACACCCATTTTGATCCTTGTACAGTGGACCCCCGCATACCGTTGGCATCACATAACGTTAAATCTGCATACCGATACATTTTATCGCGAAGATTTTGCCTCGCATACTGCT